AAGGCATTATCAGAGTCAAAATGGATCCAACCGAATCGTTTGATTTTAATTTTTTCTGCAGTTTTTTTTTTTTTTTTTTAAAACTTTAGATGTAAGACAACCCGTATACGGATATCGATGGTGATGAATTTAATAAAATATATCAGATTAGCTGGGATAACTGCACCTTTATGAAAGTTGAATTTAAATTTCGTCGCTCAAATCATCTGGACTTTTCGTTTTTCTTTTCCCTTTTCTTGTTCGGTTAGAAAGGACAGTTTTCACGCACTTTATGCATTTGTTTATAAAATTCAGTTTTGTGTTTTAATGAGTATTTTTTTTTCTTTTTTGTATAAAATTCCTCTAGCAAAATTTCTTTATTTCCAATGTGTTTTCACATTGTCATTCCAAATTCTCCCAAAACAACTTTATTGTTCCAGGAATAAAGATGATGCTCATTACGGCGTGAATCTGCCGAAACTTTTCGCTGATTTGATGACTAATCGGCGATACTTTGAAGTTCTTCCGCCGCCGTTTCGTCGTCTTACCCCACTACTGATGCCACCATCTGATGATGAGGTGAGTCGAAGGGCACACACACAGTTGGCTTGCATCAGTTTAATAATTTTCAGTTATTGGTTGTTTTTTTCGTTATTTCCATTTTCAGTTTCAAATTTTGTATCCGTCGCTTGCTGAAGCACTGTGGATGGAAACAAAAATGACAGAAGTGAACGCAGCACCGAAAATAGTCGCTAACTCTCCACCAGTGACCATACTGAAACGCAATAAAGCACTCAGCGAGAAATCTAAAAGTGTTGAGGCTGATCTCACATCTTCGGCTTCATCACTCGGAGTCAAAAATAGTGCTCCCGCATCTGCCCATTTGGAGAAGTCTGGAGACACTGAGCCTAATCCCATTTGCGCTGTACAGTTCTCTTCGGTAAAAAATGCCGAACCGGCATCTAGTGACCGGTCGATGAACAAGTGCGTAAGCCCAGAGTCCAGTTCTACGTGCGTGACACGCCCCTCTTTGGCAAACGACAAGAATTGGACGTCCACTGACATTCTACCAAATGAAGCTGTAGGCGTTATGCCTGTCCCCACATGCGTTGACCAGTCGTTTGCTGTAAAAGATCCGGGTGTGGTATCG